CAGTGCAAATATATTTTACAAAAAAAAAGAGGAAATGAGAAAACAACAAAATGGGATCCAGCCAATTTGAGCTCTTTGCTACAAGTTATAACAAAAACAAAAAAGAGAAAGAGAACGAAAATAACTATTGGTATAAATGCCTCTATAAAAGCAAAGTTAACTTTGTAAAAATATACATTTTCAACACTTGTAGAATCCAATCTAAAGATATTGCTTTATTCATTAACAAGATAAATATAGAATTTTCTATCTAATTTGTGACGCGAAGTATTTTGATCCAGTCGAAACACTGCGTGACGTCACATTCCTAAAACCAATTTTGCTTATTGAAAAGTAGATCGCTATTAACCTTCCTCTCTACTCCCTTTCACGAGAGAAGTCGTTAAAAGGATAACATTTCCAATGTGTTCTTGATTTGATTGTCATTTCATAATTCGATACTCATCCGATGAGATAAGGAACTATATATACTTACGTGGTAGAGAACTTATCCATTAATATTTCATCATCATAAACATGAGATTTACAATTAATCTTGTACCAAAATAAAATAAACACACACTATGAATGAATATAATTTATAAAATAAAAAATCCAATAGTATATTAAAATGAACATAAAAAAATAATATATTATAATATGTATATATATATGTATATATATATGTACAATAATTTAATTTTCTGAAGCATTTGATGTTGCTTGTATGTTATAAGAAAGGAGAAATGTGTTAGTTCATTTAAACGTTAGAAAAATGCAAGAATACAATATTAAATATTTATATAATATCAAACTGCCAAAATTAATACAAAGTAACATCATTATTAATTAGAACCACCAATAACTTTGCAGCCATGCGTTTAAGCAGATTCTAATACGGAAGAAAGATCTTAAAAGCTCATGTTGAAGAGATAACAATCTCCTGTCGTGAAACGAAAGTAAGCAAGGAAAAATGAAAAAAATGCATAAGCACATAGATAAGTAAAATACATGCGATAATAAACAATCAACTAACGTTAATATTGTTGCAACTAGCAAGCCGCATCTGTGCAAGTTGTTGACTTGCGGGTGTAAGACTATTGGTTGATCCAAATGGTGACATCATTGTTGACATCGCTCTTTTCAGTTTGCTTGGGGTTTTGTTAAAACTAAACGCTCTGCCGACTTTCATCCTTGTACGAGACGCAAACCTGAAGAAAAATATTCGTTACAAATTTACTTAATTTAATGACCAAGAATAAAACTAAAGCAATATTGAAACTTTATTCCCCCCTGAAACTTTGTTACATTAATACAGCTATAATAATATAATTCTTTATGAAGCAATGCGATAACTATATATACTAAGAAGAGGGAAATAAACTTTCTAAAAACCAAAGGAATTAGCAAACGTAAAATAAAAAGAAACCCCAAACCTTAATAAACCAGTTCAAGTGAATATTACGACCTAATTATTAAAATTAACATACATACATGCAAAAGCCAAATCATAAATTACTAAATATTTTCATGCTGGACTACCAGAAAGATTTACACAAGTGTCAATCTACATTGCAAATGAGTAAATATGTAAATAGGGTTAAACTAGATAAAATTTTGAAATTATACAAATTTAATTGTCTATAAACAAGAAACATATATTAAATTATGTGAATTTGTAAGTTTTATAAATAACTGAATGAAACAAATATTAAAAATTTTTATCAATAAATGTTAATATATAACTAGTAACAGGCTGATAATAATGTGCTTGAACTGGTTAAATTATTTTTGTCAAATCGAATTATTTTAAAAAATGGAACTAATTTACTTAAACAAGCAAGGAACAAAGGATCAAAGCAAGTAAAAAAAAGATAATCAGCCTGGTGCGAAAACTGACGGTAGTGGGACATGTAACGTGGTTTCACACATGCTATTGAGTAGGAACACATACGGGTCCATATACTCCAGGTAAAAATTATGAAATAGGCTCCTGCAACCAAACGAGTCGTCGCCCCATTATTTTTTTGTTAACATGCAATACAGGAGAAAAACAGTTTAGAGCACCAAATAACTTCTCCCTTTATAATCATCTATTGTTTATAAAAATATATGTTCAATGCAACGATATACACTATATATATTAAAAGTGCAATGACTTTATTTTTAATGCATTCTTCTTCGATTAAGCACGTTACACTTAGGGTCTATCTAATATTTTACAGTCAGGGAAAGAGAACTGTTTTTATAACCATCAAATCGAATTCATTCGAGTGCAAATGGAGAGCTACTATGCTAGAGATATGTAAAGTATGATACTATGAGTTTTGCCAAACAACTTTTAATACTTTACGTCATATCGTTTATCACGTTGATATATCCAACTACCAATGCATCATACAATTTTCCTGATTTATTTTAACAACAGTTTGATAAACTTTCTGATGAAAATATATTCAAATACAATAAAACTAATAATTCTACATTTTGTCTAGTGTACCTCCATCATATTTACTAGTTCTCCATTTTTATTCAATTCAGCTCTATCCAAATCAGTAGAAGAAGAAAATTGACAAAGTAATATATTAAGCAACATATGTATGTAACCAAAACAGAATATATTAAATATAGAACATATAGTTTAGTAAAACTTAGTAATAATGCAATAAGGTATACTATAAATTAATGTTACACCTTGAGTTTAATAAAAAATGTGTATGTGGTAGCTTTGAACAAATTTTGAGTAAGATACTTCTGTGAAAAATATTTAATCATTTACTTTTAATAAAATATTATTTAAAATTTTAAATATATATTTATACCTACGAATTCTTTACATTTAGAAAATAAAGATATACCTCAAAAATTGAAATAAACTACCTAAAGTTTTTGAATAAAGATTATAATGTTAATGATACATTAAATTACACAATTTTTAATAGAAACTGAACTGATTTATATTTTGAATCAATTCTATGGTAAGTGTTGTGAGACAATCCACGTGTTTTTAGTACTTAAGACCTTATATTTACGATTGTTTTAGCAATAAATAAAAGTCTTAAATGTGAATATATAACAAAAAGAAAGTATGTGCCAATTATTTTATAAAGAATACCTCATACATAAAATTAATTAAACTGTTGTGTAACACTTCAAATATATCTACTCGTTAGAATAGAATGATTGACTATTATTTAGCCTTGGTGTATATACCAAAGTCTCAGTTATTCTAAATAAAAATGAATACATATTTTATAAAGATTTCTCTTCAGAACTGTAAGTACTTACATTCATAATACATGATATAATTTTTAAGTTTCTTTAAGAATATATATATATATAGAATTTTGAATTTCTAAAAAACTAATATACATTTTTATTATTTTTGTGATAAAACAAATTTGTAAAAGGAAGTGTCATCAAAGAGTTTTAAGAATACTTAAAGTATTAGATTTTGTACTAAGAAATCCAAGATTCGTAAATGTTTTGTTATAAAAGTCATCTACTATATGTAAAAATGAACTTACAGTTGTGTGAGGAACGAAATCACTTATAAAATTAAAACTGTACAGCAAATTCAGATTTAATTTTGACTACTTACTTAAATGCTTTACTTAAAGTTCCTAATGCTACATCACTTGTGTCAATTTCAAGTTGATGCGAATCAAGACTTATGAGGAACGTGTCCTAAACATTTAAAAAACGAAACTTTTATAAATAACAGGTTTTACCACTAAATAATATTACTGTAATAATAAAAAGTGATATACACTGAAATTATTTATAAAAATTCACTTATCACTTACCGCATCAGCTTTACAGACTGTATTAGCCATTTGCCTGCACAAAGTTCGTAAATAATTCGTTTTATTTACTTCTTCATCGGTAATTGTAAATGAAAATAATTTCTCTTTTAATTCCTGATTACTTCTCACCATTAGAGCAAATACTTTATGGCATTCTGCAAATACATAAAACAAGTTGTATATAAACTATATAAAGCATAATGTAATTACTAATATTTTGCTGCTTCTACATACAAATAAAAAATTAACTTAAAAAAATACAAATTTTAAATAAAACATA